TGGCCTCTTCTGGATGAGTGCTGCCTTCAAGCGGTCCAGTTGTTGGCAGTAGAGGGCCGAATTGAGCGATTGGCCATAGAGCCGGGGTGCAGCTCGTAGTAGATGATTCCTTGCCAATCCCACCAAACACACAGCAAAAACTTCCTGGCCGTCAATCCGGTCTTGGCTACCGTCTGGGCCGCTTTCCTGAGCTTTGACCACGACCTTTTGCGCTCGATGTTGTCGTGACCCTATTTTCATCGCCAGTCACAATCCCGCTTCAGAAACGGGTAGATTTTGTTGTGATTCAGCAGCGATTCGCAGATGGAAATTCGGTCCATCATGTTTTTTTGCGTTGGTGCGTGTGGCAGCCAAACATCGAGCTTCTTTTTGAATCCAAGGTTATGCAAATGGTTCCAAACGGTTTTCTGGCTTGGCCTGCTTCCACTATTTCCATGATCTTATCGCAATTTTCGACGAACAATTCGTTCAATTACAGCAATCCCGCTTAATTGGACAAACTAATCAGAAAAAAAATGCATATGTTCACTTTAAGTGTTTATTTAGTTTTTAGTAATTATATTTAAAAAATATTTTTAACTTAGAACGGAAAAAACATAAGGAACAAAAATAAGACAATCCAATTTCATATATAGGGTGGCGCACGAATCGTGCTACAAAAAAAAAAGCGTAATAACTTTTTTCAAGTGAAACTTTTATTACATCGTCTCAAACGTTTTCACCTGTGTGTTGCACGCCGCGTGACGCATACGTGACGTCACTTATTTATTTATTTTTTTTTTTAAGTCGGGGGAAGCATCGAAAGCCGAAGTGCGGAACTTTAATTCGCTAAACCTAACGTACTCCCAACTCTAGAATTTTCCACGAACCACCTGACTAGGTGTATTACTTCGTGGGAGTGATAAGACATTTAAGTCTCCTGTATGGTACAGACTGACGGACACCTAATCTATTCCATATGTCTTAGTTTTGTCATGATTGAGACCGCCGCTTCGCTGACAGCTTTCCAATTCTCATTGGACTGACACATAAGTGTCGTCGTGATATCGGGTATAATTCTGTGGGTCCGCTGTTCTTTGGGTGAGGCTCTTATAGACGGCTCTGGTAACTTGTATACACGCGCGAATTCGTCACCCTGGATGTCAGTGGGCATCATACTTGCTATTACTTCAGCAGCTGCGCTGGATATCATTCGGAAAGCACTGATTACTCTTAGTGTCGGCAGCCGGTGCACTGTGTTTATTTGTTTGGTATATGCTTTAATGTTTAACGCCTGGATTCATATTGGGGCCGCATATAATACAACTGATATCATAACCTTTGCGAGTAAAAATCGCCGGCTGGAACGCAAGCAGCCTTTATTTGCCATAATTCTTGATAAAGCGTTGAGGATTTTGCTCGTTTTACCCGAGATGTATTCTAAATGCTCCTTAAATTTAAGCTTTGAGTCTATTATTACTCCCAGATACTTTAGTTGTGGCTGTGATTAAATTTCTCTCTTCCCTATGGTGGAGATATTCGTTCCTCCAATTTCCTAGTACTTATTAGCAGGACTTTTGTCTTGTGCTCAGCCAGTACTAAACTTCTTGAGGAGAATCATTGCCGCAGACAATTGACGCATTCATTGCATTTTCTCCGGAGGTCATCAAGATGTTTAGCCATTGCTACCCTTATAAGATTATCCGCGTATGCGATTAATTTCACGGCTTCCGGTTGGTTTATTCCTATCACCGCATCATACATCACGTTCCATAGAAGGGGGCATAAAACCGAGCCTTGCGGTACTCCAATCGAAATAGCGTAGCTCTTGGTGCCTTCATCAGTGTCGAATATTAGTTGCCTATCTTCAAAATAACTTATAATATTGTTTACAAGATATTTAGGAGCGCGTATTTCATACAGAGCCTTGATTATTTTTGCCCATTTTGTTGAGTTTAAGGCATTCTTCACATCCAGGGTGATCAGCGCACAATATTATTTAGTCCGTTTTTCCATCTTCTACCACTTACTGCGCATTTCGCAGTGTCGCCGACATTGTTTAGTGCGTTAATAGGTGACCTCGTTTTTGTAAAGCCGTATTGCCTTTCTGATAATCCGGCGGCTTTCTGGATTGCAAACTCCAAGCGGTTTCTTACTATGCTTTCGTACACTTTGCCAATCGTGTCAAGCATGCACAGAGGTCGATATGAGAGGAGAACCAATCGCTGAACTTTCCATGGGTCGTGGAATATTTCTAGCTAATTTTAAGCTTCATTGTACATTTTTGCGAACACATGTGGTTTTAAAATCATGGCTTCCTTAAAAGCTCTGTTTGGTATGCCATCTATACCAGGCGCTTTGCTGATTATAATTTTTCCCGCTATGGCCAATACTTCGTCTTCACTAACTAGTAGCGGTGGCTCTACAACTTCGGTTCGTGGTTTAGCACAGGTAATCGGATGGTATTTAGGAAATAATGTTTCCACGATATTCTTCTTAAAAGAAGCGTTTTTGGGGTTTTGTGTCTTATTCTTGAATTTCGACATACATATTTTGTACGCCGTACTCCAGGGGTCTACGTTTGCTTCCTCACAGAGCATTTCAAAACAGTTCCTTTTTCTGCGGGCAATGACCGACTTTAGAAGCTTCTTTCTTTTAAAAATTTCCCTAAGACCGTTTGAATTTCCCTCACATTAAGTCCGCTGTAGACGGCGTCTAGCTACATTACACAGCTTTCTGAGCGTTGCTATTTCTTCTTTCCACCAATAGACGGGCTTTCGTTTGTTTTGGTGTACTGTTCTGCGCATAGTTGCGTCGCAAGCTGTGACCAGTCCTTTCCGCACTGCAGACACCAAGTGGGTGGCGTCCTCGCCTGGTGTATTTGCAAAGCTTAAGCCTATCTCAAAAAGGTCGGCATCAAACTCCTTTTGTTTCCAGTTTCGTTTTGGGCAGGTGCTTTTACTGCGGAGTTCCGTCTCTCCGGAAAACGAAATATCAGCAATAATAGCCATATGGTCACTATTTGTAAATATATCCGACACCGTCCACTTAATGTGCCTGCTTAGAGCATCATTTGCAAACATTAGATCGATTATGGAGCCTTTTTGAAAAGTATTTTGCGTTCCGCTAATCATTATTGTAAGATTCGAATCTAACTAAAGTGTTAAAAATAGTTAAATTAAATAATTTGTATATTGTTTTAAAAATTTTCCGTCCCTTTGAATTTCAAAGCATATGCGCGCAATCAAGCTAATATTGAAAATATGATTTTGATGCTACCACCCCTGTAAGTCACATATCTGTTAAATCGCTAGTTAATTACCCAAGTTTTAATGCACTCGGTTGAATTGAAGTTGATGCTGTCTACCTAAAATAAAAAAATTTGACAGAAAATTAAACAGCTGAAAAATTTTAAACGAAAATTCAAAACAATTCAATTCAGTTATTGCTCACAAAAAGGTGAATATTTATTAATATGGACATTAGTTTTGATTTATATTATGATGACAAAAATGTTGGGACCAAAACTCATGCGCTGCGCATAAGAAAAATCTATTCAAACTTCTTAACACCATGTAAACCAAAGTTTTATAGGCAATTGAATGGCTTTTAAATAATGTTTATTGCGAATTCATTATTTATTTTTGTTTGAATTAGGAATCATTTTGTTTTTTACTAAATTAAATGAAGGAACGTTACCACAAACTCTCTATTTCCTTGCTGCCGGTACTTATTAAGAATACATTTGATTTGCAAATGATTTTTACTATGAGCTGAAGCAACCTATGATATCTACAAGTATGGTTGTAACAAAACCTGCCTATTATGAACACCATATTCGTGCGCTGTGGATAAACCACCAATGAATGAAGAGGAACAAAACGCTTCAAAAAATTAATTTTACTTAAAAAGTATATTCCTAGGAATAGTATATTGTATCGGTTTTTTATGTTCGAAACACTTCCAACGGCACCTCAATTTTATTTTAATGTTTTCGAATTGTAGCTTGTCTCGTCCAGTTTCGTGATTTTAATCCATGAGCTCAACAAATTTTTCACCTTTCTATGGAAATGTACACAATAACTGAATAAATTTGAATTAACAAATAAGATTATAAATAAAAAAGTTGCCCATTTTCCATTTTCTATTAAAATTATTCCTTAATAAATTCATTAATGCTTAACTACAACTTCTTGTTAGCAGTTGAGGTTTTTTTATACTCTAGTCAAAACCACTGGGATAGAATTAAATCAAAAAAAAAATTGAAGTTTGACAACACTTCAACCAAAATACAGTTGGGTTGAAAACCATAATATGGGCCTTAGTTCTTGTGCATACATAAAAGTGTGCATTATAAATATTTAAAACTTATATTTTATTAATTTAAAAACAATTTTTTTACAAAATGTTTGTTATCTGCAGGCAGCTTTTTCACCAATACAAATTATCCATCTTAAGTGGTTTTGTGTTTTTTTTCGGGATGGCCGACAGAATATAATTTTAGTTGGGATTTTTTTTTTAAATATAAGGAAACCCATATTAGCTTTAATTAAGTTAAATAGCATATGGCTTTGAAAATATTGTTATGTAGGTGTTTAGTTAAAAATATAATTCATTAAGCAATTATTATATTAACTGTAGTGTGAGTGTAGTTATACAGAATCTAAATGATATTTTAAAATTTTAAATATATAGTACTAATAAAACTTTAGTAATTAGTCATATATAATATGATGATTTTTTAACCATAAAAGTTAAGATTTTTTGTATAGAAATAAGTTTAAAAAATAGTTAATAAAAAATTTCGGCAACGTTCCAAATGGTGTTGGTTTGGTCCATTTCATGAATTAATTCAATGCTTTTAATGCGTTTTCAGCTTTCATTAAATTTTTATTTATTTATAATATCAAAGAAATTGAAAATGGCGGCAAGTAAACAAACCTGTCAAAGTTGCAATAAAATAATTAGAGAAGATACTAGTAGCATCGGCTGCTATGTTTGTAAAAAGTGGTATCGAAATGCTCGACATGCAATTTAGAGGTTAGTATTATTGAGTCGGATGACGAATACGAGGTGGACGATGGACAACACACAGCTTTGTCTACTAGTACCGATGTACTTGAAAGTATGTTCATTAAATATCTAGCACTATTTAGAAAAAAAATGGATAAACTGAAGCTCAATGTCACTGGGTTGCGTAATGACTTAAACAAATTTACGGAACAAAATAATAAAACAGCCCAGCAGCAGAAGCTAATGGGTAATAGGATTGACAAAATTGAAAAGCAACTACAGTCAATTAGTAATCTCAATGGGGATCCCAACTTTATAATTTCTGAACTGAACGAGCGTATGAAACGTGAGTCTGAGGTCGTTATTTATAATGTACCGGAATCTAAAAAACCGGCAGGATTAGATCGGCGTAACGACAACATCGAGCAGGTTGCAGCGTTAATTACAGAAGATCTGTCAAACAAGATTCCAGACATCAAAGTCCGTCGTCTCGGCAAGCCAGTGCAGGGCAAGACTCGTCCAGTATTACTATACACACCATCCCCAGCAACAGCTAGGGAAGTCATTAAGATTAATCCAGCTGGTGACACGGGCATTAAATTCAAGCCGAGCTTAACACACGCACAGCAGCAGCATCTGAATATGCTCAGAACAGAGCTCAATGAGCTAATCAAAGGTGGTGATAACAAAAGGACAATCAAATATATCAACGGAGTGCCTAAAATAGTTGATAAACCGGCATTTCAAACGCCGAGAGAAAAAAATAAAGAAATGTAAGATAACAATAAAATAACATGAGAGGTTTAAGAACAAAATTACATCAATTTATAACCTCTTCAGCTTGCTTCAATGGAGATATAATTTGCGCTAGTGAAACCTGGTTACATCCTTCGATATCGGATGGTAAAATAATTGACAATAATTTTAAGTTATTTAGGAAAGATAGAGACAGCAACACAAGTGATCATAAACGTGGAGGTGGTGTCCTAATAGCGATAAAGAGTGATATATCGGCCGAACAGTTAGAAACAGAAGACAATAATATAGAACACATATTCATTAAAGTTAAATGTACGGAAGGCGACTTAGTAATAGGTTGTGTTTATCTACCTCCGCTATCACCATTGGACATTTACATTAATCATACCAATACTGTTCAATATCTAAAAAACAAATACCGTGACTGCAAGCTGCTAATCTTAGGAGACTACAATCTACCTAGTAGCTACCCACAAGATCAATGTGTAAATTTACTGTATAGCAATATGTTTCTTGTTAATTGCGAACAACTCAACGCGATCACCAATGACTACAATAAAACCCTAGACCTTTGCTTTAGCAACACAACTATCAAAGTCACCAGAGGAGATCCTCTCATTTATGAAGACAAACATCACCCGAATTTAAACATCAGGGTGGATACTCTAGCTAATTTAAAAGAAAGCAAGTCGCCAAAATATATTTTTAAGAACGCAAATTACTTGGATTTAAATGGATTTTTTCTAACTTGCAATTGGATTGAATTATATAAGCTAGAGTCAATAGATGATAAAGTAGACTGGTTCTACAACGTTATAAATGAGGGAATTATCCGGCATGTACCTGTTTCCAACAACAAAGCAAGTAAATACCCAGTTTGGTTTTCCAGAGAGCTGATAAGTAAAATCCGCGAAAAAAATACAGCACATGCAAAATATAAAAAAACCAAGCCAAGGCAACAATATGATACATTCCGGCAACTTAGAAATGTCTGCAAAAATTTAAGTAACGATTGCTACAACAACTATATAATTAAAACAGAATCAAGGATTAAACAAGATGCTACAACCTTCTGGACATTTATCACGAACAAAAGAAGGAGTGACACAGATATCCCGGCTGCCATGACCTGGAAAGAAACCACAGCTAGTAATGGAGAAGAAGTAAGTAATCTCTTTGCATCGTTCTTTAAAAGCATTTATAAAACTTATAATGACGGATTGCCTATACATGACGATCATAACGAGGGTCACAGCCAAGAAATGGATTTATCAGAGCTCCAGGTAACATACGATGTCGTTTATAAACAAATGCGCAAACTGAACCTCAAAAAAGGAACAGGACCTTATGGTATTCTTAATTTACTTCTAAAAAATTGCGCAATCGGATTAGGAGATCCTATTACTCATCTATTTGATGCATCGCTCAAGTCTGGTATTTTTCCATCAACGTGGAAAATCTCCTTCATCTGTCCAATACATAAAGCAGGTTCCAGAAGTGACATAGCTAACTATAGACCCATATGCATTCAGTCATCCATTGCTAAGCTCTTCGAGAAAATTATCCTACCTCAATAATATCAACCTTCGAGAATATTATATCTACGAAACAGCACGGATTCGTAGGAGGACGATCCACAGCTAAAAATTTATATCTCTCTACAGGATACGTTCTAGACGCAATGAACCAAGGATTGAGCACTCATACCATCTACACGGATTTCTCTAAGGCCTTCGATATGGTAAATCACGGTATTCTTATCGATAAATTGAAAAAATGTGGTGTTAAAGGTAGTGCGCTTGATTGGCTGAAGTCATACTTAACAGATAGACTATTACAAGTACGTGTGAATGGCTACATATCAGAATTATATGAACCCACATCAGGTGTCCCTCAGGGATCGCATCTCGGGCCAATACTCTTTAACATATTCATAAACGACATCGGGGAGCATTTCAAATCCGAATACCAACTTTATGCTGATGACTTAAAGATCTTCAGGAAGATAAATAGCGATGATGATATAGATATTCTACAGCGTGATATCAACACACTCCATAGTTGGTGTCAAAATAATAATTTAAATTTAAACAAAAACAAGTGCGTGGTTCTATGTCTCTCTAGACTAGCAAACCCACCTCCAGCAACCTATCATCTCAATGAGCACCAACTATCTGAGGTATCATCAATTAAAGATCTAGGCATTATCATAGATAACAAGTTTAATTTTTCATGTCATGTGGACAGGATAACATCTCATGCCTTCAAAACAGTCGGCTTCTTATTCAGGGCGGGCAAAGAGTTCAAAGATGTCCACACACTTATACACATATTTAAAACGCTGGTACGTCCTACATTGGAATATGGCTGCATTATCTGGTCACCTCACAATCAACAAATGATTGATAGAATTGGAAAAATACAACGGAAATTCTGTAAATTTCTAACATATTATATGTACACACGAGGGACCCACTTAACAACGGATGAGGTGTACAGGCACTTCAAGATCGACAGTCTGTTTAATCGTCGTCGAGCTGCTGATTTAACTTTCTTCTACAAGTCAATCCACGGCCAGATACAGTGTCCGGAGATCAGCAACCAGTTTGAATTCATTGAGTCCAGACCAGGGATCCGTACGAGAAGGTTGTTAACCACTATAAAAACAACCAAAAACTACATTTACCACGGACCAAAGAAGCGGATAGCTAATATGGTCAATGAATATATAGCAGACATCGACTTTTTTGCAAGATCTCTGTCAAGTTTCAACTCTAACGCCAAAAAAATATTATAATATTAACCAGCTAGCACTCATATTATCTCCACTTTCAGTAATTATACTTATTAACCTCTTTGTTATCTCATATACTTCTATTAAAATACTAAATTCTATCAACTTATATGGTACATTATAAAGTAAATATTAGTAATCTAATTCAATGTCGCAATCAAACAAAATTTATAAAATTTTATGTACACTGCCGATTGGCGTTTCTTTCTAATAAATAAATAATTTTCCCATAATCCTAGAATTTTAAAAAACTAACCAAAAGTTTGTATATTTTAAATCAAAATTAATTTTATGTATTGAAACTTTTCATATTAGGGCTGGAGGATTTTGTTGTTCAGTGGGAGGAATTGAATAATTCGTTTAGAGAAACAATAGAAGCAAATGCTGTGATTCCTTTTGGGGTGCGATGTGAAGGAACCCAAGCCGAATCATATTGCTGCGATGAAGCCTTTGGTCATAAAAGGTGTGAAGAGCAACTTAACAATGTGATGATAGAAATAGAATTATTAATGAAAGCAGTTTCTGAAAAAGAACAGGAGATAATTGAATTGAAAGCCCAAAGAGATAGTTTAATTAAATGAAACGATATTCATCTCCAAATTGATGGGATCTGTAGATATAATTACCAATAATCTCGCAATAGGTATGTGTTAGGAATAGTATACAAAATAATTGTCCTTCAGGTCTCAAATTTGAGAGAAATTTGAAGACTATAGCTCTTGGAGTAAAATTCACATGTCTTTTGCCTTTTAGATATTTGCGACCTCTTTTCCATTGGTCTTTTACAACCACACTCTCTAAATTTATTAAAGTTTGGCCAAAAGACAGCAATAAGCCCCTGAAGTTGCGTAGCCGAGCATTTAGCATTGAGAAGAAATACATTTCATTGTGTTGTGATTGAAAACTCATTTAAAATATGATAAGTATAGTGATTTTATAATGGGGTTAAAGGACTTAGGGCTGAAAACAGTACTTCCAGGAGAGCCATACAGTGTTTTTTTCGTCCACGTACTACTTACTTTCCCCATTATACATATGTATGTAACGGGTGATCCAAGTAGAGGTATTTTTTCTATATCCTTTTTTGGCAGATCACGTCATGTTATTTTTGTTAAGTATTGTTTGGCAATTCATCATGAAAAGACTTACGTCCGAACAACGTTTAAGAGCTGCGATTTCATCCAGAAAAACCACGGTGGTTTGTAAGCCGGTGGAATCATCGGTCCATATATCTTCGTAAACAATGCCGGTGAAAACGTAACCGGTAGATTAGCCACCAAGATCGTATGATAACACGCCGATAGACTTTTTCGTGTGGGGATATGTAAAGTCTAAAGTCTATGCGGACAATCCCGCTTCGATTAAGGCCTTGGAGCAAAACATCACGCGTGTCATTCGCCAGTTACCAATGCTTCAAGGATCATCTGAGACGTAGCCGCTTCCAACATTTGAAACAGATAATCTTCAAAAAATAAATCCCATAGAATGTTCTTTGGAATGATAGTAAACATTCCCCATTACATTTGAATTTTCTGTATTTTTCGCTTTAAAAAACTAGGGAACCTCGAAATGAATCACCCAAAAAATAAATGCCAAAGAATGTTCATTCGAATGATAATAAACATTTCCCATTAAATTTGAATGTTTGTGTTTTTTTTCTTTAAAAAAGTAGGGAACCTCGAAATGGATCCTTCTATGCACCAGAGTGGGTTGATTTACAGGGAGCCAAAAAATAGAAAAATCGCATATGTGGAAAATATTTTATGGTGCATTCTGAACAACTTTGCCTAAAAGAATATGGGTCTCAACCAGGTTTCGAGCCAGCGATTTTTAGGTGAAGTTTAATATTTTGGAGTTATAAAATTTATTACGTAGGTACATTTTGAGATTCTATTGATCATTTGTCGAAATCTGACAACTTTATCATATATCTTTTATACAACCAATTATTCAAATCTTATTTTGGAATAATTCATTCGATTAAAACGGTGAGAGCTTGTAATTTTGCAGAATAGTCCTCTAATGTATACTTAACATTGACAGTGAAAATAAACAAAATCGAACAACTATGTATAACAAAATATAAGTTTTAAGTGAATTTTTGTAAAGATTTTTAAAGTTGATCCCGCATTCGAAAAATATTTTCCATTTTTTTATGAATTTTAAATTTCAACTTAAACTTGAAGAGACTTTATACTTGTCTCGTCGTTTGTATTTGAGGTAATAAGTAATATGGTAGTTGTCTGAATTTCTTTATTATCACTGTCATTGTAAAAAATATAATAGAGAATTATTCTGCAAAATTTGGAGCTCTTAGCTTTTTAGTTGAAGGTTTTCTACCGGAAAAAAATCTGTAAAATCGGTTGTATGCGAGATATATGTTGTAGTTGTCCGATTATCTTCATTTTTATTGTCATTGTTAAGGATATGTTAAAAAACAGTTCTGCAAAATTAGGAGCTCTTTGTTTTTTTTTAAAGACATGATACCGGAAAATAAAATAACTGAATAATCGGTTATATAGACATGAGATATAGTTGTTCGATCTAAACGATTCCGACAAATGACCAATAGAATCTAAAAATGTACCTATGTATTAAATTTCATTCGGATGTCTTAAAAAATGATGGAAAATTAAAAATTGTTTAGGATCGCGAAAAGTTACACTTTACCTAGAAAATCGAAACCGGCACAAAAAACCAATTTTACTTTATTTCAGATATTGTTAGTATAAAATTTTTTTGATGAAAATTCGCTCTTCTTCAGGCTTGTAAGACTTTTTGAAACATACACTCTAGTTTGAAAAGATGCCAACCAATCATTTTGAAAATTGGCTTTATTTATAATATCGCGCTCTAAACGAACGAAACATCGAAATATTATCATTATTGAAAATAGTTCTCCCACGTAAAAAACTTTTCACATAGAAGATGGTATTGTAACGGATTTATTCGATAAATCGTCTGCGTTTAAAACTAGTACCATGTTCCGACCGACACTTAATCACTAGATTTAGGCTGTTCAGTGGTTTATC